TATATTACGGGCATGAATTATCTCTAAAAAGTGCCAATTGCAATTTGTTGTTGTTCAACTTACATGAGCGGACCGCTTTGGTGACGAATGTGAACCCAGGTTTGGTCAGTCGCTCGTGTTTCCTCCGTGCCCGCCTCTGCCGTCCTCTGGCCCCGTGTTAGCTTGAGCGTTCCTCTGCCTTTAACGCCTCCTCCGGTAACAGTCCTTCGACCCATGTCGAGCACACAGTCTTTCCGCCGGGCTGTGGAAGTTTTTCAAAGTCCGCAGGAGGCCCAGGTAGCCAAAGCGTTAGCATGTGGTCCATGAGGGTTGGTGAATAACCCAAACGTGCCGGTCACTTTTGGCTTCTTCTGTTTGCAGGTGCGGGGGGCAAACTTTCAACGAGGTTTCAGCGGACTCGTGCGTTTGTGTAATCACGCTGGTCGCCTCCGGCGTGGGGGAACAGTCTCGATTTGGAGAGTTTTGTCTCTGGCCTCCAACAGTTGTCGGTGTCTCACATATCTGCTCCCCCCGCTTCTCTTGCTGCCGGTTTCCTGAGAGCGTAGTAATCTGGCTTCCGCCTCTTCTTCTTCTGCTCCCGGGTTTGGCCCACTTCTCGCGGGTCTCAGCTGGGCGAGCGCCGCCGTGGTTGGGGCGAGGGGATGGTGCTTTGAGGCAATGGAACAGAGCGCGGAGGACAAGCGCCGACAGAACCTGGACAGATGGAGAGGACAGGGACAACAGTAATCTTGCTACATTTTTTTTTTAAAAACCCAAACGCCTTGTTTGGGTGCACACTTATTGTTAGTAGGGGAAAAAAGGGCGGTAGGGTGGGGGTGTGGGGGATGTGTGTGTGTGTGTGTGTGCGCCTGTGCGTTCTCCGCTTCGGTGAAAGCCGGAGGAGCTATTGTTTTTACATATTTCTTTCTCTAACCTCTTTTGCCGTGATATTCTTAAAACCAAGTATATTTTTTTCTTCCCTTCTTCTTCTAAATTATCACGCAGATGACCTGCACCATAGGCAAGCACTTCATAGCTTGCATCTGTAGATTGATTTTACCCATTTTCTCGTACGAACAATGGGCCTAACCCGCTTAGTCTCTTCCCTGCTCCTACCCACTTTGGGGCGCTCCGTTCCCCCCCCCGCTGGTTCAACCAGCGAGCGCGCGTTCTTGAAAACGGAGCGGTTCTGGCTGAAGACACTTGGAGAAATTATCAGGGTCGCCTACAGGGCGATACTAACGCGCAGCCGCTAGCTTCAATCTAGAGCAAAAGCCCCCAAAAAATCCCGCACACAGACTATGCTGTGGCAATGAATGAAATACCCCAAAAAATACATAAATAAACAAATCCCCGTGTACACTTAAGTGCTGCCCTGGGCTCGTTACGCAGATGAAAAGACAAGACTCACCAGATTAGGTTCTTTTTGGTCTTGTGTGGCAAAAGGATTCCTTCCGTGCGCGGGACGAGCGCGCGTTCCTTTGTCTCCAAAAAGGAACAGAGGCTGGTGATCCAGGTCGGCCAAACAAAGCCGCTCGTCCCCGCCGAAAGTATCCATGCCAAGACATGTCAGCAACGCCAAATTGTTGTAGAATTATATACCCCATGAAGGAGAAAACTCAAAGGTCCTTTGTCTGATCAAAAGCGTAAGTTTATTGTTAACGCACGTGCGGAGAGCCAGCACACACACACAAAAGGCAGCATGTACCAGCTCTGAGGCCAGAGCCCCGAGTTTCCTGTATTACAAGACACACACGAAAGCCAGTCCCGCCCACAACAGATGGGAGGGGGCCACCGGTGCAGGAGGCGCATAGGGATGCAAACAGACTGCAGGATGTAGAAAGTGCACACATACAGACCGATACATATGCAAGAGGTGAAAGGGGGCAAGAGTGATAGCCATTGTCTGTAGGTGTCGGGGGGGCCCGGCTCCTTCCTGGCAGCAGGGACATATGGATAGAAGCAGGCATACAGATTCAAGATACGAAAGACACAAGGGTGTGACAGACAGCAGGGGGCCCTCACAAAGCTCAGCATGGCGTCAGAAGGGCGTCTCTGCATTGATAAAAGGCCTTTGACGTCCGTGTATTTGCTGCGGCTGGTTTTATGTAATTACTCCAAAAACTGTCACCACAGGGACAAGTCTCTCACTGTTGTGACGGCCTACGGGCCTAACGGTAGTGCAGAGTACCCGGCCTTCTTGGAGTCCTTGGGAGGGGTACTGGACAGTGCACCGCCCGGGGACTCCGTTATTCTCCCGGGGGACTTCAACGCCCATGTGGGAAATGCCAGTGACACTTGGAGAGGGGTGATCGGGAAGAACGGCCCCCCTAATCTGAACCCGAGCGGTGTTCAGTTGTTGGACTTCTGTGCCAGTCACGGCCTGTCCATCACGAACACCATGTTCGAGCACAAGGGTGTCCACCAGTGCACGTGGCACCAGGACACCCTAGGCCGGAGGTCGATGATCGACTTTGTTGTCGTATCATCTGACCTTCGACCGCGTGTCTCGGACACTCGGGTAAAGAGAGGGGCGGAGCTGTCAACCGATCATCACCTGGTCGTGAGTTGGATCCGCTGGCAGGGCAGGAGGCCGGTCAGACCTGGCAGGCCCAAGCGTGTAGTGAGGGTTTGCTGGGAACGTCTCGCTGAGCCCCCTGTCAGACGGACTTTCAACTCACACCTCCGGGAGAGCTTCTCCCAGGTCCCGGCAGAGGAGGGGGACATCGAGTCAGAGTGGACCATGTTCTCTTCCTCTATCTCCGATGCGGCGGCTCGTAGCTGTGGTTGCAAGGTCTCTGGTGCTGGTCCCGGCGGAAATCCCCGAACCCGGTGGTGGACACCGGCAGTAAGGAATGCCGTCAGGCTGAAGAAGGAGTCCTATCGAGCAATGATGGTTCGTGGGACTCCTGAGGCAGCTGTCCAGTACCGGCAGGCCAAGCGTGCCGCGGCCCGGGCTGTTGCAGAGGCAAAAACCCGGGACTGGGAGGAGTTCGGAGAGTCCATGGAGCATGACTATCGGTCGGCCTCAAAGAGGTTCTGGCAAACCGTCCGGCGCCTCAGGAGGGGGAAGCAGTTCTTTGCCAACACCGTGTATGGTGCGGGTGGAGGGCTGCTGACCTCGACTGGGGATATTGTCGGGCGGTGGAAGGAATACTTCGAGGTTCTCCTCAATCCCCCCGTCACGTCCTCCGTCCAGGAGGCAGAGGCTGAGGATGTTGGGGCGGATACTTCCATCTCCCTTGCCGAGGTCACCAAGGTGGTTGGCAGCCTCCATGGTGGCAAGGCGCCGGGAGTGGATGAGATCCGTCCTGACTATCTAAAGTCTCTGGATGTTGTAGGACTGTCTTGGCTGACACGTCTCTGCAACATCACATGGCGATCGGGGGCGGTGCCAATGGGGTGGAAGACCGGGGTGGTGGTCCCTCTCTACAAGAAGGGGGACCGGAGGGTGTGTTCCAATTATCGTGGGATCACACTCCTCAGCCTCCCCGGTAAGGTCTACTCCAAGGTACTGGAGAGGAGGCTACGTCCGATGGTCGAATCTCGGATTCAGGAGGAGCAGTGTGGTTTTCGTCCCGGCCGCGGAACACTGGACCAGCTCTACACTCTCCATCGGATACTCGAGAGTTCATGGGAGTTCGCCCAACCTGTCCACATGTGCTTTGTGGATTTGGAGAAGGCGTTCGACCGTGTTCCCCGGGGTGTCCTTTTGGGGGGTCCTCCGGGAGTACGGGGTCCGGGGTCCTCTGCTAAGGGCCATCCGATCCCTGTATGACCGGAGCCAGAGCTGCGTGCGCATTGCCGGCAGTAAGTCAGACCTGTTCCAGGTGCATGTTGGCCTCCGCCAAGGCTGCCCTTTGTCACCGGTTCTGTTCACTGTATTCATGGACAGAATTTCTAGGCGCAGCCAGGGGTCGGAGGGGGTCCGGTTCGGGAACCACAGGATTTCATCTCTACTTTTTGCGGATGATGTTGTCCTGTTGGCTCCAACGAACCAGGACCTGCAGCATGCACTGGGACGGTTTTCAGCCGAGTGTGAAGCGGCTGGGATGAGAATCAGCACCTCCAAATCCGAGGCCATGGTGCTCGACCGGAAAAAGGTGCCTTGCCCTCTCCAGGTGGGTGGGGAGGTCCTTCCTCAAGTGGAGGAGTTCAAGTATCATGGGGTCTTGTTCACGAGTGAGGGAAGGATGGAGCGTGAGATTGACAGGCGGATCGGTGCAGCGTGCGCAGTGATGCGGTCGCTGTATCGGACCGTTGTGGTAAAGAGGGAGCTGAGCCGAAAGGCGAAGCTCTCGATTTACCGGTCAATCTTCGTTCCCTCCCTCACCTATGGTCATGAGCTGTGGGTAATGACCGAAAGAACGAGATCGCGGATACAAGCGGTCGAAATGAGCTTCCTTCGCAAAGTGGCTGGGCGCTCCCTTAGAGATGGGGTGAGGAGCTCGGTCACACGGGAGGAGCTCGGAGTAGAGCCGCTGCTTCTCCACGTCGAGAGGAACCAGTTGAGGTGGCTCAGGCATCTGTTCAGGATGCCTCCTGGACGCCTTCCTGGGGAGGTGTTCCGGGCACGTCCCACCGGGAGGAGGCCCCGGGGAAGACCCAGGACACACTGGAGAGACTATGTCTCTCAGCTGGCCTGGGAACGCCTTGGGGTCCCCCCGGACGAGCTGTGTGTGGATAGGGAAGTCTGGGCGTCTCTGCTTAGACTGCTGCCCCCGCGACCCGGCAACGGATAAAGCGGAAGAAAATGGATGGATGGATTTACAAAGACATCAACATATAAACACCAGGGTCACAGAGTCACGAGACCACAGCATTTTACGCACAAAATAGGTGGAGGAGTTTATCGTCAATCGAAGCCAGAGCGAGTATGAGCAAGTCTTGGTCCATGTGCACTTCCCTGTTGGGCTTCATTGAGCTAAGGAGTTAGCATTGTCCATCTACATACAGTCTTACATGTAATAACTATTCAAAAGCAGCACTTAAAGATCTATTTGTCTCCCTCTGCAGGAAAGATGCGGAACTACGAGCTGGTCCACAGCCGAGTGAAGTTCATCTATCCCAGTGAAGAGGAGATGGGAGACCTGACTTTTATTGTGGCAGAGAGAAAGAACGGCTGTGCATCTTCCTCACGCAGCTTTAACATCCTCCTCTACCTCCTCGTGTTCCAGGTACATGTTTGTTTCATGTTTAAATTCAGTGTCAAATACCAAACAAGGACTAAGCTGCCGATTAGTGAGGCCTGGTTTAATGCAGTTTGTGACTTCATCTGCTTTCCCTTCTGTTGCATGTGCTGGACTTAAAACGCTCACATTCTTGACTTGTTTTGTGTATGGTTAAGGTGATACATCAGAGCTCCACCCCCTCTGGTTCTGGCCCCGCCCCCGCCCCCTGCAGCTCGGGTCCGGTGTTGCAGCCACGGACTCTGATCCTCACCAGCACAGACGTGTTTCTGCTGGACGAGGACTACGTCAGTTACCCTCTGCCCGACTTCGCCAAAGAGCCCCCATCGAGGTGAGGTCAGACCCCAACGTCCACAAATGTCATGGCCCATTCTATGCGAGACAGCGAGTGAGGGAGCTTCCACCTTGTAGTCGCCATATTTTAGCTACTCTTATTTCTCCTTCTATTCTGCTGTAATGTGCAATCTCAATATTAAAATGGGTGGATCATAAACAGCACCAAGTTTGTTTTGGATGAGGGAATATTGTAACTTGGTTGAATAATAATAATAATAATAATAATACATCAAACTCATATAGTGCTTTTTTGGACGCTTTACAAAACACATACAATTAAACATTGAAGAATCAAATGAAGGAAAGGCTGAAATGGGCGAGTTCCAGAGAGTGGGGGCGGCTGCGGTGAAGGCTCGGTCCCCAAGGTCCGGTGTTTAGTCCTGAGGGGAGGGAGGAGGTTGGAGTCAAAGCTAAAAAAAAAGCTAATTTTGCTTACAAGAGGGGTGTCCATACTTTTTAAACCTTGATTTAAAAAAACTGGATTCAAGCTGGATTTTGGAATTTAAAACGATTTGATACGTCGTTTTGATTCACACCACAGTTGTATTTTATTTTGAATGTTGGGACACAATCATAAAACAAATGTCAGTAAATAACAATAGAGAGAACAACAAGGTATAGCACGACTGTATTGGTGGAGTTGAAGTTGGTTGGATGACACAACGGCGACTTTGTGTTGGCAACAGAGGGCCACATAAAATATAAAGTTTTATCTTGTCTTGATTCTGTCTTTCCTCTCACACCAGGTTATTCAGCTTTGTCTCTGTTATCTTGTCCTGTAGGGAGCGCTACCATCTGCGCGAGGCCCGGCGGATCCGTGACCTGGACCGCGTTCTGCTGGGATATCAGACTTACCCACAAGCTCTGACGCTGGTCTTCGACGAGCTGCCAGGTCCAGACCTGCTGTGCCCGCTGTCACTGGACCATTTCTCGGCTCAGGTCACGACCACTGAACACGATACACCTGCTCCCGGGGGCGGGGCCAGGAGTCCAGGAGGCGGGGCTTACTCTGGAGAGGTGCAGTGGTGCGTGTTTGTCCCGTCTGCAGACAGCAGAGAGAGGCTGATCTCGCTGTTGGCGCGGCAGTGGGAGATGCTGTGCAGTAGGGAGCTTCCAGTGGAACTGACTGGATGAAAGAAAGTCGTATTGTTAAAGAAAAATGACTTTGTTAAAATGAGGCTCCAGCTGCACTACCTAAACACCTAGTTCTCTGTGCGTTTGTTTTCAGAATAACCAAACATGACAAGATCAACGACAAAGGGGAGCGACCACTAAAGTCTGCACCCTTTCTGGATAAATATGGGAAGTAGTTTAGCTTTTATAAACAAATGCGTGGATATAAACGGACAATTATAAAGGTTATGCCAAGTCGTCTTTGTCACAGGGTGGATTCACTCAATATCACAACAAAAGTTAATTTTTTTTGTATATTATAAGCACAGAAAATACTCTTTTTCTATGAAACAGGTTTTCACAGCAGTATTTCAGTATTTCTATTGTCTTGCATTTTTTTCCCTGTTTTGCACAACATTTCTGGCTAAAGCACTTTCATAAGAACTCAACGGTTCATTAGACTCATGTGTGATCCATTGTGTAACTTTGAAAATGGGGGAAATGAAGCCATCACTTCACAGACACCTGACCCTGTGTGTCGGCCAGTCTGGAGCTGCATAAAACCATATTATTATTATTATTATTATTATTATTATTATTACTGCTTCTTCTTCTCTATTTAATGCAGGTTGTGCTCACATTTTTCTTCCTCAACGTCTAAAAATTTTAAGGGTTTAAATGTTTTCTTTTACTTGTTTTGTTTGTTGGTAAATAAACCATTTTTACATCTGGTTTTTATCCAATGGAATCTTTTGTAAGTGTTATTGTGAATCGGGGACACATTGGACTGGATCAGGACCAGTGTGTATAATTATTTTAAAACATTTTATTTAATACAAACTGTATATCCTTTTATGAACTGTGTAAAACTCATTTGGCTTTGTATGAAGTATGTCCAAGACTTTTATTGTTTTTGTACAGTTTTATGTGTAAATTACCACTATTTATTATCAATTGACTTCAATAAACTAATATTGTTGAAAATGCTTTGATCTTTATTTGTTGTTATAGTTATGGACACGTTTCTGACTCCAGGGGTTTTTGAAAACATTTGGACCAGAGCTGGACTCAGCAATTGCATTTGATGTGTAGGCACTTTACCAGCACCTTTCTGCTTCCTGTCTGTTCGACCTCACTTCCTGTTCGTGACGGTCTGTACACGAGGAATCAGCAGAAAATATCGGACATTGAACAAGGAATGCTACTGATCAGCGGAAAACTAGGAACAGACGAAAGATAACGAGAATACAAAATAAATGATGCCAAAAACATCCATCCATCCATTTTCTTCCACTTTATCCGTTGCCGGGTTGCGGGGGCAGCAGTCTAAGCAGAGACGCCCAGACTTCCCTATCCACACACACCTCCTCCAGCTCGTCCGGGGGGACCCCAAGGCGTTCCCAGGCCAGCTGAGAGACATAGTCTCTCCAGTGTGTCCTGGGTCTTCCCCGGGGCCTCCTCCCGGTGGGACGTGCCCGGAACACCTCCCCAGGGAGGCGTCCAGGAGGCATCCGGAACAGATGCCCGAGCCACCTCAACTGGTTCCTCTCGACGTGGAGAAGCAGCGGTTCTACTCCGAGCTCCTCCCGTGTGACTGAGCTCCTCACCCTATCTCTAAGGGAGCGCCCAGCCACTCTGCGGAGGAAGCTCATTTCGACCGCTTGTATCCGCGATCTCGTTCTTTCGGTCATTACCCAAAGCTCATGACCATAGGTGAGGGAGCGAACGAAGATTGACCTGTAAATCGAGAGCTTTGCCTTTCGGCTCAGCTCCCTCTTCACCACAACGGTCCGATACAGCGACCGCATCACTGCGCACGCTGCACCGATCCGCCTGTCAATCTCACGCTCCATTCTTCCCTCACTCGTGAACAAGACCCCGAGATACTTGAACTCCTCCACTTGAGGAAGGACCTCTCCACCCACCTGCAGAGGGCAAGGCACCTTTTTCCGGTCGAGCACCATGGCCTCGGATTTGGAGGTGCTGATTCTCATCCCAGCCGCTTCACACTCGGCTGCAAACCGCCCCAGTGCATGCTGCAGGTCCTGGTTCGTTGGAGCCAACAGGACAACATCGTCCGCAAACAGCAGAGATGAAATCCTGTGGTCTCCGAACCGGACCCCCTCCGACCCCTGGCCGCGCCTAGATATTCTGTCCATAAATACAGTGAACAGAACCGGTGACAAAGGGCAGCCCTGTCGGAGGCCAACATTCACCGGGAACAGGTCTGACTCACTGCCGGCAATGCGAACACAGCTCTGGCTCTGGTCATACAGGGATCGGATGGCCCTCAGCAGAGGACCTCCGACCCCGTACTCCTGGAGAACCCCCCCAAAGGACACCCCGGGGAACACAGTCGAACGCCTTCTCCAAATCCACAAAGCACATGTGGACAGGTTGGGCGAACTCCCATGAACCCTCGAGTATCCGATGGAGAGTATAGAGCTGGTCCAGTGTTCCGCGACCGGGACGAAAACCACACTGCTCCTCCTGGATCCGAGATTCGACCATCGGCCGTAACCTCCTCTCCAGTACCTTGGAGTAGACCTTACCGGGGAGGCTGAGGAGTGTGATCCCACGATAATTGGAACACACCCTCCGGTCCCCCTTCTTGTAGAGAGGGACCACCACCCCGGTCTGCCACTCCATTGGCACCGCCCCCGATCGCCACGCGATGTTGCAGAGACGTGTCAGCCAAGACAGTCCTACAACATCCAGAGACTTTAGATAATCAGGGCGGATCTCATCCACACCCGGAGCCTTGCCACCATGGAGGCTACCAACCACCTTGGTGACCTCAGCCAGGGAGATGGATGTACCCGCCCCAACATTCTCAGCCTCTGCCTCTGTAACAGAGGACGTGACGGGGGGATTGAGGAGAACCTCAAAGTATTCCTTCCACCGCCCGACAATATCCCCAGTCGAGGTCAGCAGCTCTCCACCCGCACCGTACATGGTGTTGGCAAAGAACTGCTTCCCCCTCCTGAGGCGCCGGATGGTTTGCCAGAATCTCTTCGAGGCCGACCGATAGTCATGCTCCATGGACTCTCCGAACTCCTCCCAGTCCCGGGTTTTTGCCTCTGCAACAGCCCGGGCCACGGCACGCTTGGCCTGCCGGTACTGGACAGCTGCCTCAGGAGTCCCACGAACCATCATGGCTCGATAGGACTCCTTCTTCAGCCTGACAGCATCCCTTACTGCCGGTGTCCACCACCGGGTTCGGGGGTTGCCGCCGGGACCAGCACCAGAGACCTTGCGACCAGAGCTACGAGCCGCCGCATCGGCGATTGAGGCAGAGAACATGGTCCACTCGGACTCCATGTCCCCCTCCTCCGCCGGGACCTGGGAGAAACTCTCCCGGAGGTGTGAGTTGAAAGTCCGTCTGACAGGGGGCTCAGCGAGACGTTCCCAGCAGATCCTCACTATACGCTTGGGTCTGCCAGGTCTGACCGGCTTCTTCCCCTGCCAGCGGATCTAACTCACGACCAGGTGATGATCGGTTGACCGCTCCGCCCCTCTCTTTACCCGAGTGTCCGAGACACGCGGTCGAAGGTCAGATGATACGACAACAAAGTCGATCATCGACCTCCGGCCTAGGGTGTCCTGGTGCCACGTGCACTGGTGGACACCCTTGTGCTCGAACATGGTGTTCGTGATGGACAAACCGTGACTGGCACAGAAGTCCAACAACTGAGCACCGCTCGGGTTCAGATCAGGGGGGCCGTTCTTCCCGATCACCCCTCTCCAAGTGTCACTGGCGTTTCCCACATGGGCGTTGAAGTCCCCCAGGAGAATAACGGAGTCCCCGGGCGGTGCACCGTCCAGTACCCCTCCCAAGGACTCCAAGAAGGCCGGGTACTCTACACTGCTGTTAGGCCCGTAGGCCGTCACAACAATGAGAGACTTGTCCCCCACCCGGAGGCGGAGGGACGCGACCCTCTCATTCACCGGGGAGAACTCCAACACGTGGCGGCTGAGATGGGGGGCAATGAGAATGGCCACCCCAGCTCGCCGCCTCTCCCTGCGGGAAACTCCAGAAAAGTGGAGCGTCCAACCCCTCTCAAGGAGTTGGGTTCCAGAGTCCAAGTTGTGTGTGGAGGTGAGGCCGACTATCTCTAGTCGGTATCGCTCAACCTCCCCCACGAGCTCGGGCTCCTTCCCCCCCAGTGAGGTGACGTTCCACGTCCCAAGAGCCAGATGTTGTGTGTGCGGACTGGGTCGCCGAGGTCTCCGCCTTCGACTGCCGCCCAGTCCTCTCAGCACCGCTTCACCACGGACCCCTCTGCAGGTGGTGGGCCCACAGGAGGTGCCAAAAAAAATGACACAGCTAATGTTTAAAGTACAATATGTCCTATTGATTGTTCTGACCATTCTGTTTGTGTACTTTGAGTACTTTGAGTATCAATCATTTATTTGTACAGCACTATTGTATTGTTTATAAAGTCACTTTACTGCTGTCACCTTATTGCACTGCTCAGTGCTTACTGCATATTACTGTGCACCATGTGCAATTGTATAGTCATTGAAATTGTAATCATTTTATTTTAATTTTTATACCTTAGTGTTGCTGATTTTTATTATGCCTTACTCTATTTTTCACCTCTCTTCTTTGACTGTTGCACTGAGAGCCAAAGCAACTCCCTAGTCTATGACTTCCTGTGACTTAATAATGTATTGGTTTTATATAGTGCTTTTCTGGACACAAAGACGCTTTACATGTGATTATTCATTCACTCCATAAACAGTGGTGATAAACTACTACTGTAGCCACAGCTGCCCTGGGGCACACTAACAGAAGCGCGGCAACCAGAATGTGCCATCGGCCCCTCCGACCACCACCAACCATTCACATTCTAGGCAATGGGGGTGAAGTGTCTTGCCTAAAGACACAACGGCAGTTTGGCACTTTAAGGCCGCAGTCGCCCCACTGTGGCACCTGCTATTCCCAGAGGTTAAGTGTCTTTCCAAGGACACGACAGCAGACAACAGTGGGAATCTATGGTGGTCGGGCTCGAACTCACGTCCCTCTGGCTCAGAGGCCAATGCTCTACCAACTGAGCTACTTTCGCATGGCAATAAAAACAATTCTGATTCAGATTTTTTAGTGATATGTTTTGAACCCGCTGGTTGGAGAATGTCTCTAAATGTCTCATACTGTGTGTTTCCCATGTTCCTGCTGCTTCCTAAACGCATCCCTGAGTCTGATGCAGCGTTTTCAGTGTTTTATCGGTTTCCTTTCATTGTTCTTCACCCTGACCCCTGAACGTCACCCTCCAACAGGATGTGTCGAGGTGGACTGGATCTGTAGTCTTCAGTGAAACACAGCCTCTGGCACCGTAACGTGTGTTCTGTTTAGGCCTCCATAGACACAATGCGTATTATAATACAGGAGAATTTCTAACATTTAAATATCACATTCAAAAATCAGAACAGTTATAATTCTTTACTGATACATGCCAACAAACTATTATAATAAAAAAAAGATTTATTTATAAGCTTTTTGTACTCAGTGATGGAAATTATAGTAACTATAGTTCAATGCATATACTGTATATAACTATTGTTTCTTAGGTAACTGTAATGTATATTTCATATATGTTGGGCCCCTACAGGCGATCGCTCTTGCATAAACACACGAAGCCTGTGGAGGAGGATGTACTTCCAGCATCAGCAGGATTGGAGTGTCGCGAGACACCTCCAGAATAATATATTAATGTCCCCACAGGGAAATATGTCCTCTGCATCTGCAGTTCACCAATGTCCAGAACCAGGTAACAGTCTGACTAACATCACAGCAGCAAAAGTGGACCTAAATGAAGGGGATTGGATTATTATACGCTTTTTGCTTCAACCAATCCCTTTTCAAACCGTGCACAAATTTTCTTGTTTTCTCTTATTAACCTATTTTCCTGTGAATAATTGTTTGTATCTTGTGCATGTTTGAAATAAATAAACAAATTCAATTAATGATTTAGTGTGTAAAACTAGATAAAACTGGCTTTATTCACAAAACCACAATCTCAAGGCTAATGAGTGAATGTAGCATTTCAAATGTTATACTGACTGTCATGTGAAGCATTTACATTAGCTCCTCCTGAATCCGAGATTCGACCATCGGCCGTAGCCTCCTCTCCAGTACCTTGGAGTAGACCTTACCGGGGAGGCTGAGGAGTGTGATCCCACGATAATTGGAACACACCCTCCGGTCCCCCTTCTTGTAGAGAGGGACCACCACCCCGGTCTGCCACTCCATTGGCACCGCCCCTGATCTTTCCTGAACAAATAAATTCTCCGTTATGATTTATTTTCCTCTTTCATTTCCTTTTCAATGTGATTTGGTTCGTGAAGAGGATGCGGCTCTTCTTGCTTTTGGTTGTTGTGACTGCCGTCCAATCAGGCCCCGAAACAAAGGTAAGATTTTCTTTTAACTTATTACTTAAATTATACCAAAAAAAATGTTAAAGTAATATGAAAATGGTATAACTTTCATTGCAAGCTTGAATTAGATTTATACTGTATTTCTGACCAGGATTAATTATTAAATCTACACTGGGAAAATGTTCTTTCTCAAAATAAATCTAGGTCTCGTCTAAAAACTCGAGGAGCCTTCTCTGTGGCTGCCCCCAAACTGACAGACACATTTTTAACACCAATTGAGTTTTACCATTTTACTTTTTATGTGTGTATATTCATGCTGTTTTCATTTTTTTTATTTTATTTTTCATGCCTGTGAAGCACTTTGGGCGGCTGGTGTTGTTGCAAATGTGCTATACAATAAAAGCTGACGTTGACATTAAACCAACACTAAACACTTGCTTCTATTTTTGCACTTGTGCGTGGATAAGGAAGTCTGGGTGTCTGCCCTCGAAACCAGCAACTGACATGATAAGATAAACCTTTATTAGTCTCACAGTGGAGAAATTTCAGTGTCATCGTTGCACATTACAGCAGAGAAAGGAAATAAGAGCACTCAGATTGCACACATCAAAGTCTATTATTTAAGATAATAGACAATAAATTTAAGATAAAATAAAATAAAATAAGAAAATCTGGGCTACAATTGCACTTGGTTCGGAGTATTTACAGATGTCTATATTATACATTAGCAGCGGAAAATATGAGAATATGAGCAGAATAAGCATCAGAAATAATATCAACAGGTAAAGTGACTTGAATGGGAGAATTATCAGATGGATATGAATAATACAGTAAGATATCAACAGGTAAAGTGACGGTGGAAGGCAGAATTATCAGATATGAAATAATACAGTAGTACTGATAACAGTAAATATCAGATATGTAGTACTGTAGTAGTACTGATAACAGGTAAAGTGACTAGTGACAAAGTTACTAGTGAATTATCAGAAACACTTGTGCAGACTCAGCAGTTCCTGTTACACATTCTTGTTGTACAGTCTGACAGCAGCAGGAAGGAAAGACCTGCGAAACCTCTCCTTCACACATCGAGGGTGAATTAGTCTGTCACTGAAACTACTCTCCAGAGCAGAGAGAGTGTCCTGCAGGGGGTGACAGTCATGGTCCAGCATAGATGTTAGTTTGCTCAGGACCCTCCTGTCCCCCACCTGCTGCACTGTGTCCAAGGAACAGCCCAGGACTGAGCTGGACTTCCTGATGACCTTGTCCAGCTTCTTCTTGTCCCTCTCTGTGATGCTGCTGTTCCAGCAGACCACACCGTACAAGATGGCTGATGCCACCACAGAGTCATAGAAGGTCTTCAGGAGTGGCCCCTGCACTCCAAAAGACCTGAGCCTCCTCAGCAGGTAGAGGCGGCTCTGGCCCTTCTTGAAGAGGGCGTCTGTGTTATGAGTCCAGTCCAGTTTGTGGTTCAGATGAACACCCAGGTACTTGTAAGAGTCCACTCTCTCAATTCCCTTTCCCTGGATGTTCACTGGAGCTGGAGCGGCAGAGTGACGTCTACGGAAATCCACCACCATCTCCTTGGTCTTCCCCGCGTTGATGAGGAGGTGGTTCCGCTGACACCAGTCCACAAAGTCCTGTATAACTCCTCTGTACTCTGCGTCATCGTCCTCGGAGCTGAGTCCGATGATGGCAGAGTCGTCAGAGAACTTCTGTAGAACACAACCGTCCGTGTTGTGTCTGAAGTCCGCATGATTGGATGAAGATTATGATTAAGAGATCCTTTATTTGTTCACAGTGGGGAAATTTCAGTGTTGCATCATTGGTTACAGAACAGTAGGAATGAGGAGCACACAGCACAAGATATGTGAACAATTATAATTCCACACTAAAATAAAATATCTAACTTTAGCATCAAAAATAAGCATAGATAGTGAGATAGATAGATACTTTATTGATCCCCGTAGGAGAAATTAACGTGTCCAGTAGCAGAAGACTCATCCAGGTTTGTTGTACAGTCTGACAGCCTTGTCATGTGAATTTTAGAATTTTTATTCCAATTCTTTATTTTCAGAAAGGACGTGGCTTCTGTCAATCGGAGGAGCTGATTGAGATCCACAGGCCCTGCACCTCCTGCGCCGTTCACTCTGCCTGTCCAGTGCACTCCACACTCAGGACTCGCAACTGCACGTAAGGACTAGAGATCTTTCCCCTGAACCTGGACTGTGTCTGTGGTTCTCCACTCCTCCTCTGGTCCTCCTCTGGTCCTCCTCTGGTCCTCCTCCCCTCCTCTAGCCCTCCTCACCTCCTGTGGTCCTCCTCTCTCCTGTGGTCCTCCTCTCTTCTGTGGCCCTCCTCTCCTCTGGTTCTCCTCTCCTCCTTTGGTCCTCCTCTCTCATGTGGTCCTCCTCTCTCCTGTGGTCCTCCTCTCTCCTGTGGTCCTCCTCTCTCATGTGGTCCTCCTCTCTCATGTGGTCCTCCTCTCTCCTGTGGTCCTCCTCTCTTCTGTGGCCCTCCTCTCCTCTGGTCCCCCTCTATCCCGTGGTCCTCCTTCCCCTTTGGTTCTCCTCTCCTCCTTTGGTCCTCCTCTCTCATGTGGTCCTCCTCTCTCCTATATTTCTCTGGGCGGTACGGTGGCTGAGTGGATAGCACTCATGCCTCCTCCTCTGCTCCTCCTCCTCTCTTCCTCTGGTCCTCCTCTCCTCTGGTCCTCCTCTCTCCTCCTCTGGTCCTCATCTCCTCCTCTGGTCTTCCTCTCTCCTCCTCTGGTCCTCCTCTCTCCTCCTCTGGTCCTCATCTCCTCCTCTGGTCCTCATCTCCTCCTCTGCTCCTCCTCCACTCCTCCTCTGGTCCTCCTCTCTCCTCTGGTCCTCCTCTCCTCTGGTCCTCTCTCCTCCTCTGGGCCTCCTCCTCCTCTGGTCCTCCTCTCCTCTGGTCCTCCTCTCTCCTCCTCTGGTCCTCCTCTCTCCTCCTCTGGTTCTCATCTCCTCCTCTGGTCCTCCTCTGGTCCTCCTCTCTCCTCTGGTCCTCCTCTCTCCTCCTCTGGTCCTCCTCTCTCCTCCTCTGGTTCTCATCTCCTCCTCTGGTTCTCATCTCCTCCTCTGGTTCTCATCTCCTCCTCTGGTCCTCCTCTCTCCTCCTCTGGTCCTCCTCTCTCCTCCTCTGGTCCTCCTCTCTCCTCCTCTGGTCCTCCTCTCTCCTCCTCTGGTCCTCCTCTCTCCTCCTCTGGTCCTCCTCTCTCCTCCTCTGGTCCTCCTCTCTCCTCCTCTGGTCCTCCTCTCTCCTCCTCTGGTCCTCCTCTCTCCTCCTCTGGTCCTCCTCTCTCCTCTGGTGTGTGCAGGTACTATGTGTCCATTGGGGGCCGTGAGCTGGAGCTTTCTGGCTGCAGTACAATCTGTGGGCGCCGCAACTTCAGGTCCAAGTGCTGTCCTCAGTTCTGGGGCCCTCTCTGTCTCGGTGAGTTTTAACGAATGCGTTTTGGTTTTTAGTCAATGGGGGAAAGAAGCATTGAGCAATAAAGCTAATCAAACTACAGATTTAATTAATTTATCCATATGGACTTTTACTATATTTTCCTATTGTTCTATGATTGGAAACAGAAAACATGGGAATGAGTATCATGGTATCTGAAAGCTTGGTCCAGACAAAAATAATATTGAAACGTACAAAAAAGACCTTAGAATGTGGTCCATGGCTCCTACACAATGTGACATAGTTTGGTTTTCTCCAGTTTACATGATTTCAATTTTCAAAGCACAAACCTTGGGCTGAGACTATCAAAAGTATAACATTATTTTTATCTTGAATGTCGACACGTGTTTGAACGTTATTATTATAGATCCATGTGTTTGAAGCACAAAGTGTATTATTGACAGTGTAGCTAACATTAGCTTAGCCACGGAGCTGGTGTCGCACGTGCAGCAGTCCGTTGTTGCTAAGTAACGTCAAGAATCAGAAGAATAACGTGTGCGTGATGCGTGATGACATCATTCGCCCAAGTGAGTATTAAATCTTGACTTTTGCGAGTCTTTTGTTAGCTCTGCAAACTTCGAGAATCTTTATTTTTTATGCCCTGGTCATCCCTTGTATTTTCATGTCCGTAAAATAATTTTGTCAGTGTCCTAAGAATTAGCTAGTTGTGAAAATAACTAGCTAGCTGTTAGTTAGCAAACATGAGCTAATGTTTGCTAACTGGAGTTCATGAACGTGGCATATCTTTTTGAGTTGTTGCTTGGTCAACAATCTACAACTATCAAAATTGTGTCGTGCATTGGCCTTACTAACATTATTGTTGTTATAATGTTTGATTGTCATTAGAAGCATTTAAATGTGAGGAAAGAACATTATATTATTTCTGCTTTCTCTTTCAGCTTGTCCAAGTTGGTCTGGAAAAACATGTAACTACAGAGGCTCATGTTCTGATGGAGAGACTGGAAATGGGACGTGCATCTGTGACGTCGGTGTCTATATCCTCCTTTCTATTCTGACACATTGAGTCTGTGCTGATATGAATATGATATGTCTTTCAGGATAAATTCTCTGGTTTCGCTTGTAATGAGTGCAAAAACCCAAACGCATACGGAGTGAACTGTGACAAAGGTATTTTAACTCTGAGATATACGTTTCTGTTTTTTTTTTTTTAAAGCATCACCTTGTGTAGAAAGTTTCTTCCTAAACTTTACTAATGCCAGCATGATGAAGTAACTATATCATATTCATTCTGTTTTGTGCCAGGACAGAATGAAACAATATCTTAGTAAAATGACATTTGTTTTGTGTTTCTATTATGTATTATTCATGTTCTTCGTGGCCTGTTGTTTGGTCTCAACTTCCTCACATACAGTAAATGTACTATAGGCTTACTGTAAATGCACAAACCATGTCAATCTACTTTATTCTGAACGTAAAAACATACTGACATGACATCGGCTTTCCTTATTTTATACAAAGATATGAAAAACGTCTAGCAGGAGATTATGTTTTCACCATGGTGTGTCTGTTATTCGTGCTGGATGTTAGCAGCATAACATAAAAGGCAGATTTTTACTTAACAGAACAAGGACCATTATTAGATTGAAGTCACCCTGATCAACCAGACCCTCTTCTTTCTGGCACATGTGAAAGCAGTATTGGAAAATCGTTATTAACACTGATGCATCTGGATCCAGGGTTTCTTTCCCTCCTTTTGCTCCTCTGTGCTCTACAAGCCTTAGAGTCTGAGTCCGGTACCCAGACTCAGGACTAAACATGTGAAATCTGGAACAGTCTTTCTTAAAAAGCGAGACAGGCTTCCACTCTGACGACGTTCAAACCCAGTTCTGTTTAGTTGTTCATACGACTCAAGGAGTGTCTCTTTACTTGTCATTATTTGTGATTATAATAATTTTGTTAAGCAGTTTTAAAAATGTCTCTTTAAAAATGTGTATGCAATGCTGTTCATCCAACAAACCTCTGAATGACCTCAAAAATACGAAATGACTGAATTTCCCCTGTCGTAATGAAATCTGTGTGTTTCAGAATGTGACTGTAACCGTGGCGTCTGTAACAAGGGCCCAGAGGGAGATGGACAGTGCTTCTGCCAGCCTCCGTTCACGGGCAAACGCTGCGACCAACGTAAGCAAAGCAAAATGGTTTATTTCAAATTAGACAGTGAGATGACAACAACAATCTTCCATTTCAAACCATGGATGGATGAGAATATTTAGGAAAGAAATAAGAGCGAAATGATTGAACGCACAACACTGAAAACTAAAAAATACAAAAGACACTGGAGAAACAACGCATTGAAAATAAATATCATCTAAAAGAACGTAGATTTTCTCAAACTTTTAATCAAAACACATACAATCAAGAACTACCACTGCTGAATTACAGTTATTGTTAGTATTATTAACAACGGTGTTAAAACATGCTCAAGTTACGACACAAAGAGAGACCCAAAAAGTGACACAAGACTGAATGTAAAAATTAACACGTTTATTAACTCATTCACTGCCCATGACGACAAAAGTTGTCATGTTGAATAGTAACGCTCACTGCCCATGACGAGTTTGACGAGTTTTTCGTGTTATTACACGGGAGGCTACAGTAATGTCTGGCGCACCTTGTGAATGACCCACAATACTGATATATAGTGCAAATGTACCTGTAATGATAAATCAACACCAGTAGGATGCAGTATTGCACCACAGGAGAGGTCATAAGTCAGTGGAGAGGAGGAGGAGGAGTGTGGGGTCTTTGGAGAGCGTGCTGCTGTAGCAGAGCGAGCGATGATAGCGTAGCATTGAGACAGATCAGCGATCTAGTTTAGCGATAGTATAGCAAGAGTGATGGCGAAAAAGAATAGTTATAAGCAGCTGACACTGCTTCAGAGATTGACTCGCGGATCAGTGAGTGAGGTCGAGAGGGGAGAGAGTGGAGACCCGGGTGGAGGTCCGTCTCTGCAGCCATATTTGCGCGGAGCAAGAGCCCCGAGCAGAGACACACCTTCCGCCTCTCGCAGCGTATCAGCTGCTGTTGTTACTGATGCCTCGGATTCGTTCAGCAAACCTGATCATGATTTATCGGACACACTCACAAACACTCACACGCACTCACTCACGCACACAGACACTCACTCACGCACACAGACACTCACTCACGCACACAGACACTCACTCGCACACTGACATTCACACACACACACACACACACACACTCAAATTCACATGCTTCATTCTATTTTATACATCTATAGTTTTATTGATCTTTGTGTTGTTGTTGTTTGACGTTTTGGTTGATGGTATAGAAGAAAGTTAAATTTTCTATCTGTGAATAAATTGCCAACAATTTGCCATCAAAAGTATTATTTCAGAGTCATGTTTTTATAATTTTTGTAATGGAACAAGTGTGAAGATGTTTTGAGTTGTCACTAAAGCAGCAAAAATGCATCTAAAAGTCTCTTTTCTGCTTGATATGTTCCTGTTTACATACAGCTCGTTTCCTCTGTTTTCTTGCTCAGACCAGGTGTTATGGGTGAAAGTTTGCTTTGTTCTATGGCGAATAACGCAAGAACGGTAAGGTAGAAACAAACTGTTTTTTTCAGAGTAAAGCAGAGAGGTGAATCTTTAATTTGGTGCCCTTGGTGTTTACATCGTCTAAAAAATGAATATTCTGTGGCACTTCAAAGTTGGGTCAAATCACCTGAAATTGCTGGCAGAATGCACTTCTCAAATCTGAAAATGCCTGGCAGTCAGTGAGTTAATGCAGAGGGAGGTTAGACTGGATGGTCCGTAGGTAAGTAACCCAGAAACTTCCTAGAACATAACAAGATAAGTGCAAGGAAGTCAGTAATTCAATTCAATTCAGACATATTTATTCTATACAAAACCGTTGAATTCGCCAACACAGATCAGAGAAACACACAGTTCAAACACAACAAATGCTGTGATAAAAACACATAAAGCCATTGGTCCATAAGAGGCAGATGACCAATGTCCACAAATGTTGTTGAATGTGTCACCTGGATCATCACAAGTGGATGAAAATTGAGGAATGAAGGACCAGTTTGAAAGGAAAATGTCCAAAACCTACACTAGCACCTGCTACAAACCGTCTCCCGCCTCTTAACAAACCATAATCTCTTGATGTGTGTGTGCAGTGAGCTCGGGTTGCCGCTCCTGCCCCCCGTACTCCTTCTGCAGAGGGGATGGAGACGCAGCTGTGTGTGACTGTCTGCCCGGACACAGAAAAACCTCTCAGGGAAAATGTGCAAGTGAGTAAACCGCTAGCGAACGGGGCATAAGCGAATAAGCGAATGTCTCTTGGTCATTAAAGTTGGCTGTATGATTGTACCGACCTTCTTTGTTCATAGTTAACATGTGTAGTTTGTCCTAGCAGAAACAACGTCATCTTTTGCATATTTGTGTCTCCCTGGCAGCAGTAGCTGCGTTTCCATTGAGCATCAAATTTCGAAATTTGAATTTGCGCATCATAAAATGTCTAATGGAAACGCGCAAATTTCGAATAAACCACAGTTTTTCGATAAAAAGTTAATGCGCTTAAAATAGGTGGTTTTTTGGACGTATCGAAATTATGTTTTTTGCAAAACGGCAATGGAAACACTTATTTCGATATAGCGGAGGAAGCCGAGCTGCTTTATTCAGTGAGTTTTGGCTGCGCTTCGTGTGGAGACTTGGGAGATACGTGGGAGAGGCATGGGGGGGAGAGACGGGGGAGAGACGGGGAGGAGACGGGGGAGAGATGGGGGAGAGACGGGGGAGAGACGGGGAAGAGACGGGGGAGAGACGGGGGAGAGACGGGGGAGAGACGGGGAAGAGACGGGGGAGAGACGGGGGAGAGACGGGGGAGAGACGGGGGAGAGACGGGGAGGAGACGGGGGAGAGACGGGGGAGAGACGGGGGAGAGACGGGGGAGAGACGGGGGAGAGATGGGGGAGAGATGGGGGAGAGACGGGGGAGAAACGGGGAGGAGACGGGGGAGAGACGGGGGAGAGACGGGGAGGAGACGGGGGAGAGATGGGGGAGAGACGGGGGAGAGACGGGGAGGAGACGGGGGAGAGACGGGGAGGAGACGGGGAAGAGACGGGGGAGAGACGGGGGAGAGACGGGGGAGAGACGGGGGAGAGACGGGGAAGAGACGGGGGAGAGACGGGGGAGAGACGGGGGAGAGACGGGGAGGAGACGGGGGAGAGACGGGGAGGAGACGGGGGAGAGATGGGGGAGAGACGGGGGAGAGACGGGGGAGAGATGGGGGAGAGACGGGGGAGAGACGGGGAGGAGACGGGGGAGACAGGCAAGGGCCGTGTCTATGGTTCTGTGCGCGCGTCCGCGCTCGGTACATGACCACGCGCGTTCGCGGAGCTGTCAAAGCAGCCACAGTTTCTCCCGGGGTCAGAGGTCAGAGAGGATGAGAGCCGCAGCAGAAGTCAAGACATTAATATATCTCACGTAAATCAAAGTGTTGGTTACTTCTGTTGCCATGTTGACGTACTAGAAACTAGTGAATAAACGCGCGACCATAGTGTATGTATACTTATGCGAATATGTCTTAATGGAAACGGCCGCTTTTGCGAATTACAGGTTTTTCGAATTTTGAAATGTATCGAAAAAGTTTTTGCGCATTATTCAATGGAAACGCAGCTAGTGTGGCCTCCCGTGGGTGTAGCATGAAACTCTTTTAAATAGTTTCTGTGCCTCGTGTCTTGTTTTAATGGCTCTTCTTTTGTCATGGAACAGCTCACCATCTATAACAACTGAATTATAATAAAACAACAGAAGAACAATAAGACATGTATAACCATAATAGCAAATGCATTATTACCCTTTGCAGTAAATTTATGGGAGTACTTCCTCAAGTTCTGTCTGTCTGAAATGTATTCATTCCCTCAGGATAAATCATCTCTGTGAGGAGAAGAAACATTTCATCCCATTTATCCTCCATTATGATTATGAAAGACAAAATCTTGGTCAGGTGGACAGGCAAGGGTCAAAAAACGGTGTATCAATCAGTGTGGCGTACAAATCAGAGGGGAGGAGACAGAGATTGTGGTCAGTTGGAAATGCAGGAGTGAAAAAACAGTATCAATCAAAAGCAGATGTGAAAACGGGGAAGTGGACAAAAATGGGAGGGCAAGAAAGAGGATCGAGGATGGCTCTGGGGAGAAAAAGAGAAGATGTTGTTAAATGACCACCAAATAATAATTAAAAGCTGATCAAACATCCACACAAAAATATCTAATTTAAAAAAGATGGAAATCTGACTTTGTATTAATATTGACTTCCTTTCACCATTAGATATCAAGAGATAAGATACTATGGAAGAGGATTAGTGATGAGGCTACATCCATGTGAAACAACACACATAAATGAAACGTAATTTATATTTTTTACTAGTGTGAGATTTCATAACACTTTTAAGTAACTTTTGTTAAAGTTAAACTCATCATTCTATCAATGTGCAGAAGCCTGTACTTTTCCACTACTTGTTTTGACTATCTCTGCTGTCTCTACCATCGACAATAAAGCATGTCTTCTGTCTGAATGAAAGACGCGATCCCAGACTTTGTCATCTTCTTCACGAGTACATAATGTTACCATCTCTCCACGAGCAAATATTAGAAAATCAATACATTTCGGGAGGGATTATGACCGCGTATTCATTCATACGTTACGCGTGTACGTAAAATGTATCCCCATAATGTAATTTCGAACCCAGGAGTATGGTACAAAGTTGAAAAAGTAATATAATATTCTGTATAGGATTTGGTAGAGTCAGTGAGGTCAGTGAAGTCAACGCGCTCTGTTGCAAACTTTATAATACGTTATACTAATACAAATATATGCCCTTTGTAACGGAGAGCCATACTCACGTGAGTTTTCAGCTTCGGTGAAGAGAAAACAAAGCTGTAGAGTTGCCACAGGACGCGTCATCAGCCTGCGTCCGCAGCCGAGGACTGCTATAATAACATTAGCATTGTAGTTTCACAGGCAGAGTTGACTGCTTAAACTAAACTTTACACAAAACTTTGACTCTTAAAACCCACATGTGACAACGCGGAACCATCAACATCTCGCCTCAAATTGCATTAAAAGTGACATTCGTGACTTAATTCGTTCGTATTTTAACTTTTAAAGCAATTCACGGACTTTGTGTCGGCCATCTTGGTTTGCTTCGGCTGCCGTGAGACGCGCATGCGCAGGTTTGCATTACATCATTAACAGCTGAGCATTACATCAGCGTCACAACTCGGCAGAACACCTGCTGCACTTGTCACGATGTTATTGACAGATTATTATCCTTATGGTAAAGTGGCATCTTGAAGTTCCCCTCCTCAACGAAAAAAGAAAAACATTGGATGTTTTTATTGCTAGGAATTACAGGGTTTCACAAGAGTCAAAGTGGTGTGTGGGTTTGTGGGTTTGTGTAGTGTGAGGGTTTGTGTTGACATTCTTAGTTCTGACTCTGAGCCAAATGTGCTGCACAACGGCTCCGAGTTTAAGAATTTAGTGAGAAAAGATCAAACAAACAAATGGATAAATACGAGAACATTTTCTGAAATGTGTAGGGGCTTTGTACGCTTTGTCAAATGAATATCAAAAATCGCATCGTGAAGTTTTTTAGAATTATTGCATTTAGATGTTGCTAAAACTGAGTTGTCCAACACTATACATGTATAAAATCTATCCAGACGACATCGTTCTAATACTGACACAGTATTATTCGTTAGTGTTAGGGTTGCATATACAGGTCACATCCCAGCCCTTTAATGGTTAAGAATTCATAAGAATACGTTTGGGCATTTATGAAAGATTACCAGGTTTTCTCTAAATATCAAAATTCTCCCAAAATGTAGTTTGGTTGTTTGTCATTGCATCAAAAAAGTCTCCGTTTCGCTGATTTGATAAATGCAACACTGGGCAAGAATCGCAAAAGCCCTGAAACAATAATGATTAAATAAGTGAAGCATATGGACAAAGAATAAATGAGAGACAAAGTTTTCAACATAAACTCTACTCGAACTATTTCCTGATGTCTTTTTTAAAGTAACACCAGAAAACACTCAATGATGTATTATTATTAATCTTTAGTAAGAACACATTTTGATATGGCCCATAGGTAAAAGACAGATATACAGAACATACAGTATATTGTATGTTGAAAAATAAATATGTACATAAAAGGCATGACCTCCAGTAATTAAATTGAATTAGCTTTTTACCAATGCTTCCTTTTGTAACGGGGCATTTGTATCTTTACTGTTTGTGAGACGAGTGAGAGAGTCCCCGGCCAAATTCCATCTCCTCTCTAAAGCTGTATAGAGTCGACACTTTTGGCCCCGCCTCCAGCCGATTCTCCCTCTTTCCAAAACTGCAGAAATGAAAAACTGAAGCCACAATGGGTCGTGAAAACCGCATTGATTTTTCCGGTTCATTTAACAACCTGTATAGTATAATAAATAGATATTCATTCAGCTGGCAGCCTATTGGGCTTGTGCTGCGTAGTTATGCTCGTCCGCTGAGGTTGTTTTATGCTTCATGACCATTGCATTCAGTTGTTGTGTCCTTAGGCAAGACACTTCATCCGCATCACTGAGTATGAATGCGGCTGCTCAGAAATGCTGTGATCCAAAATGCTCTGCCTCCATAACAGAGCGGGGAGCAATTGGGCAAAGAGCAGAAAAAGGTGGAGGTTCTTTTTACAAGTCAGCTACAATCTGCTGTATGGGGAGTTTAAGCTAATGCTATCAGGACGCTACCGCACAAGGCCTTTAGCAACCAAAAAGGTTTTTAAGAAGTCTTCTACCCAATGCATTTCTTTGCTAAACACACACTTCTGGTCCTGGGTTCGAATCCCGGTCAGAACTGGGTCTTTCTGAGTGGAGTTTGCATGTTATCCCTGTGTCTGCGTACAGTAGGTTTTCTTTGGGGGCTTTGGTTTTCCCTACCACTAAAAACATGCACAATAGGTAAAATCCTCCAGTTGCGGTAGTACCGACCAAAGCCGAGTATCAACATCAAGAGATGGATTCCCAGGCGCTGTTGCTATAGTGACCACTGCGCATGATAGACGCCCTAGAGGCATCAGGATGGGTCAAATGCAGAGGATGAATTTCACTACAGGGATGAATAAAGTGCAAATAAAGTACTTTACTCTACTCATATGGAATGAGTTGTGAATATTAACGTTCAACTCACTACTTTTATTAATGCAGCTAATGCAACCTTTTTGCAATTTTATCATCAGGGGGAGGGATTTAGCTT